ATTCATCAAACTGACTCCGGGTAAAGTGCGAAGCTCTTTAAACAGTGAATAAGTCACTAAAACTATCAGAAAACTGACAACGGAGACGGAGAGACCGACGTAGGTTAGCACCCCTGAGACTATTTCCTCCGTCATTAGATCATGTGTCAACTTTTCTGTCGAGTAACTCGAAGAGAAGTTCACACAAACCCAGAGACTTCCATAAATAAAATGAAACCGTCCAGGCTCTATGACCTCTCCTGAAACGTTTCGATAAAGAGAACCGTTTGATGAGATGAAATACTCGTCCTTTGTTAATTCAATGAAGACTCCTGAGCAGTTTAATATGGGTTGTTTGCACACTGTGAGGACCCCTGTGGGAACGTATGACCCGTTCTTCAATTTGGTCAGTTCCTTCGTGTAAAATTCAATGTTTTGAAACGTTTCTCCAGTAGCCGTGATAGTAACTGTATCTCCTTGCACTGTATATTCATCTGGTCGGAAGATTTCTCTTTCAGGACAATTAAAATACCTCATCATTACCTTGAAGACAGTAAAGATTGTGCCATTAAATAGAATGGAAAGAGAGCTCAGTGCAGCCTTGACACTATGAACTGAAATGTCCTCCGATATCGTTTGGCGTAAATCGAGATTAAAAGCTGCATTGACCGTCGGATAATTTCCCACCGTTTCAATCGTGATTCCGGAAATAGATGTGTCATTTACATCCAACTTATTGACAATGGCTTGATTCACGTGAGCCTCAGTTATGAGCGGAAAACACCGAGATGAAATATTAGGACGCATAAAAATTACAACGATGATGACTCTTTTACTGAGGGCTGTCAGATCAGCAGCACTGATACCACGTCGGCAAACTTGGATGAAAAAGTCATAGACTTGACCTACTGGACAATGAATTTTTGATACTTCTCTAGCAGGTATTCCCCTGGGGGTGGGACAGTCAAGCTTGAAAAGAATTTCATAGGAATCGCCAAGGTCTGTACTAATTCCTTGTGGTAACTCCATTGGTGGTACCTTCACTCCGATCGACGGTGATAAATTGAATGAACCCATCAGATTTCTGGTGGTATTTACGTGTAATGTGGACCAATGATTGAGAGTAGAATTCCAATAGCTTTCTCCCCCACCTGCAGACTGAGTGCCAACATTTCTGCGTTCCCTTTTCACGTCTTTTTCTACGAGAAACAAGCAATTTTAGCCAGGATTAAGTTTTTAAATATATGAATAAAGTAATCCCGCGAGCTTGAGCAAACACAAAAATATGTTGAACAAGGAGTAAAATAGAGAAGGATGTAGTCTAAATCCATAACCAAACGAGATTCGCACTTTTACTAGCGATTCGCTAAAGGCAAATGTACGTAAATGAGTTAAGTATACAGAACAGGAAGGCAAAGCGAAATACAAATAGAACAGGTAAAATGACGGACAAAATAACGAAACTTACAAGATTACGTGACGACTACGACGACTAAAACATAATGACAACGGCGACAAGAAAACTACGGTAGAAGAAGGTATGCCAAACAATAGAAACAATGCATAAAAAATGAACACGAAAATATGAAATGTGACGTAACCAAAAATGACTGGCGAACCTAATAGAATAACAAATATACACGGAACAAATGAAAACGGGAAACAATGTACAAAGGGCGTGAATGCAAAACGAAGGTGAGGCGCCGTGACTACAAAGGATGTTTTTTTTTTTATTTACTCGCGATCGAAGTGTGGGATAAAGGAAAAATTTTTGAGTCCTTCAGATGCTCTGCCAGTGAGCCACTGAGTTGCCTTGACAGGGTCATTTACCCTTTAACTCTCATGAGTGATCAAGAAAGAATTTCTCCTGACAATATCAATATAATTTCAAGCAGACAAGTGATGAGAATAAATGAAAAATCAATTAGGGGATTATTAGTTGATCCAATACCAGATTCTCTAAGTTAACATGATAAGGATTGTATGGCAGACATAAGGAGAATTAATAATGAGATCTTGGGAGTGAAAGAGTCAGCGTCTTTCTCGTTCTATACGCTCATGTTGCTGTTGTAGAGTATTTTAAAGGATTGCTATTTCGAATGTTTTTAGGTTTGCCTTTTGTTTTGTTAAGTCTCGCCTATTTGCGTCTACCGTGTTATTTTGGTAAATCTATAGTTTTGATCTTTTATTTTTAGTGTGTGCTTGAACTTGGCTCGGTTCGTGGATTGCCTTCTTACCGTGCTAGACATTTTAATCGCTTGTTATGATTGAGAAAAATTAGTTTCATAGGTGGTCATGTTTGGGTTGGTAAAACTGACCTAGAGTTTTACCCACACTGAAGATCCTGTTTTGTGCACGTGATTCTCGTATGCAGCTCGATCATTGGCATTTAATTGGTTCTTTGGTGCTCGCCAAGTGCTTCCGAGCGAGCCAACCAGTTTCCCCCTCTTTGCAAAATAATGGATATACTATGGAAACTCTCACGGTCAGCTAACCCAAGCATGTCTACGATTTTCCAACTAAAGCGTTGGTTCTTCACGCTAGATTATTATTATTATTAGGTGCATAGAGCGTTGCTGTAGTAGCTCTCCAGAAGAGAATAAAGCAGAAAATTACAGATTCTTGGTACCTTTCGTTAATTCGTCCAAGCGAGTGGTAAAAACCCCCAACATTGCTTTAAGGCTTCCTTGCTGATCGTGGCAATGTACAGGAATCGTGTTACGCATCAACCCAGGAATGACCTGGGTCGGAGCACCGTAGCGCGGAACGTAAAAGTCCGATGTTCAGTTCTTCACGAGGACTCAGAAGTTTTTCTTTGTCTCGCGCTCGTGAAAAACACAAACATGACGCTATCGACATTGCTGATCCTGGCAGCTATATGCACGACACCTGTCACATATGAACTTCGTAATGGGCCTTGCTCACCTAGAGTCCCTGTGGCTCAGTGGTGGCCGGCATCGGAGCGCGGAATCCTCACCGGAACTCCAAATGATGTTTTCTTTGTCGCACGCACGTGAAAGATGAAAAAGCAGCTTTCGGTACGAAAGAGCATGTTTCCCTATTTCATCACCGAGTTTAAATTTACCATCTTTCTTATTCAAAAGATTAATTAAAAGTGTTGTGATATATCCACAAGTTGGCCACATCCATAACTGGCAAATGGCCTTCTGTGAAATTTTCTTGCGTTAAAATTTCGTGTGCTGTGGTGTAAAGGAAAACTTATTTTCCTGCCTACCTGTAAGCTCTGTCAGCTTTCCGCTGCATTTCGAAGGGCAGCCCTCTAATATCAAATAGTAAATAGCAAGGTAGAGGCCTAAACAGCTCGAATGTTTCCACATTTCAATCATCAGAGTCATTATAGATGCTCAGTGCCACGAAGTGATCTTTAGTCCTGGTTGATACTTCTTCCAAGAATTCAAGATCTATTGACATTTCTGCTTAATAAATAAGTAACATATCATTACTATAGACAACGTATTGATAAGGGATTGACCAAAATTCCAAAATCTGTCAGAGATAGTTGGAATGGCTATATTAACATTTTTACCTTAATTGTTCATGCTGTGAGATATTAGAAGGTGGTTTTTTCAGCGTTATTAGCAGCAGACGACAGTGCGCCGAGGACAACAATGACAAGATAATCAACTTCTACGGGCCCCTTGCTTTGGGGAGGACAGCTTAGAAATGCTCAAAGTTTTAAAACACACGCACAGAGCTGTTATTCTTCTCTGTTGAAACATTTGGTTTCTCTTCCCTCTTGTGTCCGTGGCTATCATAGCTCGCTTAAATTCCACAAATCTGCCCGTCAAACTTAACCCTTCAACTCCCATGAGTGACCAAGACAGAATTTCTCCTCACCATATCAACTGATACAACTTTAAGTGACAAGTGACGCGAATTTAATATATATCAATTAGGGGATTTGTTTTTCCAATACCAAATTCTCCAAACTGACATCATAAGAATTGTAGGCAGACAGTAAGGAGAATTCCTCTTTAGATCCTTGGAGTGAAAAGGGTTGACAGCTGCCGCATCCTGGCTTGTTAAGATTATCATAATGCGTTGGGACGCGTTCTTTGTAATGTCAATCATGGTCTGGTAACGTGGTGAAGTTTTAAAAATAATTTTTTTTTTATAGGCCGAGAGTGAGCAATTCCACATTTTAAAAACTACGGACAGCAATATGGCTGGGTACAAANCTGATCCTGGCAGCTGTATGCACGACACCTGTCACATATGAACTTCGTAATGGGCCTTGCTCACCTAGAGTCCCTGTGGCTCAGTGGTGGCCGGCATCGGAGCGCGGAATCCTCACAGGAACTCCAAATGATGTTTTCTTTGTCGCACGCACGTGAAAGATGAAAAAGCAGCTTTCGGTACGAAAGAGCATGTTTCCCTATTTCATCACCGAGTTTAAATTTACCATCTTTCTTATTCAAAAGATTAATTAAAAGTGTTGTGATATATCCACAAGTTGGCCACATCCATAACTGGCAAATGGCCTTCTGTGAAATTTTCTTGCGTTAAAATTTCGTGTGCTGTGGTGTAAAGGAAAACTTATTTTCCTGCCTACCTGTAAGCTCTGTCAGCTTTCCGCTGCATTTCGAAGGGCAGCCCTCTAATATCAAATAGTAAATAGCAAGGTAGAGGCCTAAACAGCTCGAATGTTTCCACATTTCAATCATCAGAGTCATTATAGATGCTCAGTGCCACGAAGTGATCTTTAGTCCTGGTTGATACTTCTTCCAAGAATTCAAGATCTATTGACATTTCTGCTTAATAAATAAGTAACATATCATTACTATAGACAACGTATTGATAAGGGATTGACCAAAATTCCAAAATCTGTCAGAGATAGTTGGAATGGCTATATTAACATTTTTACCTTAATTGTTCATGCTGTGAGATATTAGAAGGTGGTTTTTTCAGCGTTATTAGCAGCAGACGACAGTGCGCCGAGGACAACAATGACAAGATAATCAACTTCTACGGGCCCCTTGCTTTGGGGAGGACAGCTTAGAAATGCTCAAAGTTTTAAAACACACGCACAGAGCTGTTATTCTTCTCTGTTGAAACATTTGGTTTCTCTTCCCTCTTGTGTCCGTGGCTATCATAGCTCGCTTAAATTCCACAAATCTGCCCGTCAAACTTAACCCTTCAACTCCCATGAGTGGCCAAGACAGAATTTCTCCTCACCATATCAACTGATACAACTTTAAGTGACAAGTGACGCGAATTTAATATATATCAATTAGGGGATTTGTTTTTCCAATACCAAATTCTCCAAACTGACATCATAAGAATTGTAGGCAGACAGTAAGGAGAATTCCTCTTTAGATCCTTGGAGTGAAAAGGGTTGACAGCTGCCGCATCCTGGCTTGTTAAGATTATCATAATGCGTTGGGACGCGTTCTTTGTAATGTCAATCATGGTCTGGTAACGTGGTGAAGTTTTAAAAATAATTTTTTTTTTTATAGGCCGAGAGTGAGCAATTCCACATTTTAAAAACTACGGACAGCAATATGGCTGGGTACAAATGCTGTAAAACCATCTGTAATCAGTTTTCCTATAGAGTGATTTGCATTGGAAATTTTAGCACGTATTGTGTGGATCGTGCCTTTTCTTGCATACATTTGTAGCAGTATTTTCCTTTTCCTTTCAGCCAAACGGGGGAAGCTTTTTTCTTTTTTTCCTGTTTTGGTCCCTTTCGCTATAAGATTGTCCTTTCGCATGACTGGCACTTAGCTAAAAGGAAGGAATAAAAAAAACACTACTTGCTAATTTCTCTCGTGGAAAAAATTGATTTCTATTTCCACTTTAATGTTGGAGTTTCTCCATCAGTCAAGTATTTTACAAGACCATGCAAATCAATATTTTATACCATCGAGGATCTCTTGACTTGTCCTTGCTACCGTTGTAAACATTATGTCAGTGTGGTTTCGTTGAAATTATAAAAGGCCTCGTTTATATTGAGGTAAAAATTCCTTTAGCTAAGCGCTTGATTGATAGATTAGGTTTAACGACTCGGTTTGGCGCCTTAGATATGTTATCTTATTGACTGAAAAAGCTTGCTTTGAAATCATTATGTAAGCGCCATCTCGATCCGAATACAACAAATTTTACATTTTTTTCACATGTTAACATTCCCTAGTGACGAAGAGAAAATTTTCCAAGTTAGATATGGTGATATTGCATGGGGAATGTTTTAATAAATTGTTTTATGCACAGAAACTTGACTTCTAATTCTAGGTTTTGAAAATATTTTGCGCGTTTAAAAAGAGACAAATGGACACGATGAAAATGAAGTAACAGGTGTTACTAAGCTTGTGAAAGATTTTAGCTTTCATAATGGTAGTTATGAAAGCTCTATCCATTGAGCTAACCGCTTCCCGGTTAGCTCAATGGATAGAGCGCTGGACTGTTGTGCGGGAGGTCGAGGGTTCGAGTCCCGGCCGCTAGTTGTGAAAAGTGATTTGCATTGGAAATTTTAGCACGTATTTTGCAGATCGTGCCTTTTCTTGGATACATTTGTAGCAGTATTTCCTTTTCCTTTCAGCCAAACGGGACAAGCTTTTTTCTTTTTTCTTCTTTTTTTTTTTTTTGCTCCCTTTCTCTATAAAGTTTTCCTTTCGCATGACTCTCACTTAGCTAAAAGGAAGGGGAAAAAAAGCATTATTGGTGATTCCTCTCGTGGAAAAAATTGATTTCTATTTCGACGTTAATGTTGGCGTTTCTCCATCAGTCAAGTACTTTTCAAGACCAAGCAAATCAATATTTAATACCATCGAGGTTCTCTTGACTCGTCCTTAGCACCGTTGTAAATATCATGTGTGGTTTCGTTGTAATTAGTGTTATAAAAGGCCTCCTTTTTATTAACGTAAGAAATCCTTTCGCTGAGCGCTTGATTGACAGATTGGGTTTAATGACCCAGTTTGGCGCCATAGATATGTTATGTTATTAGGCTGAAAAAGCTTGCTTTGAAATCACTATTTAAGCGCCATCTCCAAATACAATTAAATTTACATTTTTTTTCATATGTTAACATTTCCTAGTCACGAAAAGAAAATTTCCCCAGTTAAATATGGTGGTATTGCACGAGGAATGTTTTAATGGATTGTTTTATGCACAGTAACTTGAATTGACTTCTAATTCGAGGTTTCGAAAATATTTTGCGCGTTTATAAAGAGACAATTGAACACGATGAAAATGAAGTTTTCTGAGTTCAAAATAGTAAAAGAACCATTTGATGGAGTATCCAGAGAGTGTTTTGTCGTCTATCTACCTCGTCTCAGGTGTCACTCTTTGACTCGGTTTCGATAGTGGTTGATCATCGCGGTTTACGGCGGAGTTGCAGAATCGGTGAGAAGTGCTACTCGAAGAAATCAAAATTCTTCCAAAACGACCTCGGGAGGAGACTAGGATTCGCCTCAAAATGTTTATTCACGGAGAGTTTACATCAACTTCTTCGACTTTCACAGAGAATTAGGGCTTTAAAAAACATCTTCGTATTTGTCCAAATAAACCAACATTCAAACCAGAATTCTACTCGAACTAACAGCCTCACTCTGGAGTGGTCATGTGGGTAAGATTCGCTAGACCCAGTGCCCGTTGGGAACATTTAGCTGCATTTTTCCATTTGTAGATGCCGCGTTCGCCATTTTGAAACATTCAAGCTGTTTTCGATGTTTTAACCGCAGCTCTCTATATCTCAATGAAAACCGTTGATAAAATTCCTCCACCAACTGCTGTAACTGTAATTTAGCCGTGATGTATTCTTCTCTTTGTCTCTCTCCTTTGGCTACACAAGAAAACAAAAACGCTTTTAACAGAGTTAAGTCCGTTCTTTACGAGCAATTAGCTGTTTTACCCCGAAGTGTGACTAGCATCTAATTTCTCCATATGAATAAAGGCTGAGAGTTTCGAAAGAAATTGTTTGGGGCTGCGTCGGTGGGAGTAACGAAATAATTTGTATATATCAACAAAGTTGAAGTGGTAAATTGGCCACCGTAACGATTACAAAAGCTGACGTTTCGAGCGTTAGCCCTTCGTCGGAGCTCCGACGAAGGGCTAACGCTCGAAACGTCAGCTTTTTTAATCGTTACGGTGGCAAATTTACCACTTCAACTTTGTTGATATATCCAAATAATTTCTCCATATATTATCACACTTTAATCACACATTAATCACACATTAAGCGCACAAGTACAAAGATTCCAAACCCAAGATTTTGATTGGCACACAATTTCTCCTTGTCAGCATCAGACTCAAAGCGTAACATTTTTTTTTTTTACTATTTATTACCTTGTTTCCGATATCGCCTTTTCTGTAGTCCCTTGTACCACGAATAATACACCAATCCCATGAACACAGCCAGAAATAGAAGAGCCAGAAGGATGAATATTGTCACTTGATAGATAAGTGTTCTTGGATCCAGCAGAGGAATGTGGTTCATCTCGTTCTTGTAAATTGAGGTCTGAAAGTAAAATTCAGATCGATTAGAGTCATTTTCGAATGATTGTAGTCAAAGAAAAAAAGGTTGTCAATACGGGAAAATATTTCAAGGTGCCAATAACAGCACGTATTATGTACTTATTGACTGAGTGGGAGGGCCGGACACGAAAACATTTGGCTCGAGGTCACGACTCACGGACCGAGCACAGCAAAAATGCATTTAAAAAATTTCCATACAGAGTAAGCACTGACATCAAACAGAAAAGTTGCAACATCAAAAAGTGACCATTTCTCACCTTATTCTCTTTCCCCTCTTCACTTGTTCTCTTCTTCAGCACTTCTGTAACTGCCACGGTGCCCTTTGTCTCAATGTAATCGCGAAAATGCTCCTTAAGCCTGACTGCACTTCTACTTATTACAACCCCAGAAGTAAACTCAAAAGGGATTATTTGATTGATAACTATCCAAGGGACATTAAACAAATCGCTCCTGTAACTTGCTGTGTACAGATCTACTAAGATGCCATCAACCTCTTCGTCTTCCAGGGCATCAACTAGCTTCTCTAGTGTAAGAAACGTCTTACCTAATGAAAAAGACAATGTTTCATAATCTTCTAGATTAAACGTGATTTTTTCATCTTGTGTCCGTCTTTGGATAAAGAAAAAATCTGAGTACTACAAGGAATCGTAACTTGTCTGGTTTTTTCTGTTTTGTTTTTCATTATTGTGAGTTCATTATCAAGTGCTCCGATATGTTTTTTTAGTTGAAAAAGTGCTTTGAAAATACTTTTAAAAATTCCTAAGGGCAATCATCGGTTTTACTTGTCGTGATGAACTATTTTTGTGAGACGAAACCCTCTTGTTTTGAATTCTCTTTACTTAGACATCTCACATTATTTAGGATAAATCTTGAATTAACAGATGGTAAACACCACAGCGTACAGTATTGAGTTATGGATGCACGAGGAGGGGATGCTAAGCACGAAAGAAGCGTAAGAGTCGCACGAGGCAATAGTCGAGAGCGACTCTAGCGTCTTGAGCTCTTAGGGTTCACTGTGGCTTTTACCATTTGTTTTATAACATAACATTGATACATTGTAGCAAAAGAGTTTTAATTTAGCAAATCTTACGTGACCAGAAAAAATAAGCGCGCGCGGAAAACTAGTCTTTGCATTTGCTCACGTCAGCAGCGTACACCCATGGGCAAATGGGGGACGCTAAATAGACCAATCAGAGCGCGCGATTTACTTCGGTCATGTTGTATTTTTTTATATTTAAACATTTCGACTTACTCTCGCCTGCCTTGGATATGAATCTGATGATCAGGTCATATTCAGGAAATTGAGCCAGCGCGCCAACCTATGCAAGGAAAAAGGGTTTCTTTACCGTGTATCATTACATGGATGTGAAATTCGATTTCGATACTTATAGCCACCAAAATGACTAGGAGTTAGAATTACTTACCTTTTTTCCCTTAGCCACGTTGAAATTTTGATCAAGAATCCGCACAGACATGGATGATGTTAGTGAGCTAACGAGGAGGGACGACAGAACGATCCCTGTTAAAAACCATACGATGGCGATAGATCTGCCAAGAATTGTCTTTGGATATCTGTCACCATAACTGCAAAATAGAAAAAGGAAATACAAATTAGATAGTTTAATATGGAGGCAAAACCTTGAAAAAGAAAAAATAATTTCTATCCTTAGTCGATGCGGTGAAGGATTGTCTTACCCTACGGTTGTCATGGTAATAAAAGACCACCAGACTCCTTCAACAACACCTCTATGAAAATGATGAGTGAAATGTTTATCATTGCGTTCAGATTCCTGGAAAGAGACAGGCTTTGTTAGACAAAAAAAAAATATTGGTTCCTTTAGTATGTTATGTGAAGGTGTAGTCTGATCGTCCGGGTGAGTGTAGTCCTGAGAAGGACTGTTGTCGGTGGCAGTGACTGACGTTTCGACAACCTGTGCGGAAGTCATCATCAGAGTCAAGTGATTACCCCCGGGTTCAAACCATTTACTGCATTTAGTATGTTAGTTGATAAGTTTACTGACTGGAATTCATAGAGTTATTTTTAGCCAGGTAAGAGACAATACTCTTGAAAATAAGGTTTAAGGTGACGGTGAAGACTACACTTTGTTGTCGCCTGTCAACACCTGTTTTGCCTCATGTCATAGATGTGTTGGATTTGGTCGTCGCAATTCTTTTGGCCGTCGAAAGTATTCAGGGATAGTTTTTAGTTTTTTAGTCATTCTGTGATCGACCAAGATGTGATCCAGCACAATCGTCTTTCATGCAATCAAATACGTTTTCTAGGGAAATGCACCTAAATGAGTCTAAACTGAAGGAGATCTTTTGAGCGTGCTTCTGGTTGGAATTCGAGAAAGTCATACTCCATGGCAATACAAAGACCCACATGCAATTACGCACAAACGCGTGCTTGTGGGTTCTAGCATGTGCCAATTTCGTTCTTGATACATGCAAGGATATAACTATCACTTTTTGGTCCAGTTAACTTACTGCGAACCATATGATGGTACCCATTTATATCGCCAGCGCAATGGTAATGGCGAAAATAGACGAGAATCTCATTACTGAGTTTCCCAGATCTCGAGCATAACCAGATGGCGTCTTCTTTTTGGTCATCAGAGCCACACCTGGAACTGTGATGAGGGGGACATACGAGTGGGTGCCTCTGTAAGTAGTTCGTCCTACTGCTGATCTGATAGGAAACCGGAAATCCACCTTTACTCTACTGTCCGGTTCTGTGATCTTCTCTGTTGTGTTTATGGCGAAGCTGATGTTCCACACTTTGTAGCTGTAGCACGTTCCACACGAAGCTTGAAGCATGTGCGCAAGGAGTTCTGGGATAAGACCACGTGGTTCGCCACTTGAGCGGTCTTCTAAGACGTACGGGGGGCTTGGGGCCCAGTTTGCGTACATAAGGTGTGGACAGCGACATGTTTCTTGGAAACAACGACAAAAAAAATATTAAATAATACTACAGTCGGATTCGTGTTTTCATGAATTATTTTATCCACATTTTGAAAAGATTCATTTCTGCCACTGAGACCAGTAAGAGAGCTATGGACCCTAATTGAATTCATTTTTTTTAGAAGAATATCTAGATTGAACACGGCAGCCGTAGAAAGGAAATTTATCAGCTGTCATCAAAACGTCAAGAAGAAGGACGGCGGGGAAATTTCAGGAAGTTTTACACATTTGTCCGTTGATCTCCATGCTTAAATGGTGGTACCTGTAATGAAAAAAGTTAAATTCTGTGCATGAGCACAATGATTTATTTATACCGCTGAAGTTTACGTTTTTTCGGTTCCCATACCATTAGGCAACAAGTTACTCCCCCCTGGATGTGATGCTAGTCCTAAGCAAGTAAGTCAACCTTCTCCTCGCCCCCCTCCCCCCTTCTCGTCCGCCGTCACCCACTTAGTTTTCTCAGTTATTCCTGACAGTTCTCCGGTTTATTTCTAATTCTCCTGGATGAAAAAAGAGACACTGTCAGAAGTTCACTTCACCGACCAATAAAAACAAAAAAAAATTGATCTAAACGATCATTTTTTTACTATACTTGTAAAAATGACTTTCTTCTTTTTCGACTCGCCATCTCTCGTGATAGCTTCTACTGTAACTTTGTAGGTAGTGTACGTTTCCAGATCTCACACCGACACTTCTAGAGAGTCCGCGCTTACATTTAGAAATACTTGGGATGAGTTCACGGGCTGGTTGACAAAAACGACTGCCTCATACGTCACGTGATAGTATATCAATTGACTGAGTACTTCATCACGTGGTTTGTTCCATGTAATTGTGAAGCCTGTCGGACTACTGTTGTTATTCGCTTGCATATCAGGAAACAAAGTTTCTGTGAATAATAATGAGATTACTAAACTGGTATTCGACTCCATGTGCCAATGTTTTCTAAAACCTTTAGGTTTATTGTATTGCTTACCTAGAGAATTTTTACAGATGACCTGATGTGAGCTGAAAATTTTATGACAGAAATGATTTAACCCTAAGGAAAAAAACTCTTCTTATTTCGCACCCTTTCGTCCGACTTTTAACATTTCGATTCGATTTTGGGCCCCTTCAGACTATTTTGTATTATTTCGAACGCTTTTGTCCGATCTCAGACACTTCCGTCCAAATTCAGACGGATTTCGAACACTTCAATCAACTTTGGAGGATCCTGTCCGATTGCGGACGATCCTGTCCTATTTCTGATCGAGATATACGTTTTATTTCGGATAGCTTCGTGGGATTTCGATTATTGATTATGAAGAAACCTATCCAGCGAGTTTTTGGCTTAGCAGTTTAATTATTGACATCTTATCGCGTATCGTCGTACCTTCGGACCACGTCCAACCTTCAATACAGCTGCTTTTTGTTCCATTTCCCTTCTTTGTAAAAGCCAGAACTTTGACACAAACGCTTGGCATTTCTGGTGATATTTCTAAAACAATCTGAGTCTGATTCACATCTACAGCCTCCTCCAAAAGTAAAATAAAATCCGTGTTCAGTCTTGAAAGCAGTACTTTGTAGCCAAGAACAATTCCATTCTCGTGATCTAGAGGTACTGGTTGCCAGCTAACGGAGAATGCCGTGGAATTTAAAGGTGCAGTGGTTATGTTTATAGGCGCCCGACTCGGCACTAAGAATCAAACAAACAAACTTAAAAAATAGAAACAAAATAGGAATTAAACAAAGTTGTCGATGTTAATTTATATTAATATCAAGTTATTCTTAGTGTTCTCATTTTGCTAAATTTAGATGGCTCTTAACTATTTCGTGAACGTGTTTTTTATATCGATAATGGCACACTTTTACTTACGTTTCCTTGACAATGGTATAGAGCTTGGTTATTTCTGAACATTTGTGATCATTTTGAGGATGTTTTTGGTCTCTGAAGTACAGTAAGCATATCATGATTGATCTAAAACTAAGGTGACTAAGAACTCATTGTACAAATTTTTTGAAAATAAATAAGTCACCCTTTTAGAAAGGCACACTGCAGGGTAGAGCAATCCATACGGAATGAATAGTATCAAATATGGCAACATTGAGACGCGAGCCTTACCACTCTCTTTTGTTCGCAAAAAAACACAGGAGCTCTCTCTACCTTCTCCTTTTCGTGTAAATCCCAACATTTTGATGCAATACCAAGCAAACGGCTTCACTTTGCTACTTAACACTGTCACATATGTGTCACCGTCTATAATGGTTTCAAATCGAGGCCACAACTTTGCCTCTTCGTCAACTGGTTTTTTCATATGCAAAGTTGCACTAATTTTCATGTGCGTGAGTTTGAACCCAAGGATGATGCCGTTGCGATCCTGTTCTGGAATTGATTTCCATCTCACCACGATCGAGTTTTTATCTGTATTTACTGCAGTGATATCTTGAGGTGGGGAGTCTGGGGCTGAGAGGATAAAGAAAAAAGCCTTCCTTTGTTCAAATGCTGTAGCCGTAACCACTAATTAATCCTTTAACGGGAAACGGAAAATGAACCCCATCTTCATTCTTAATCTGCTTTGCTTGCTTTGGTTCTAAGAACTCATTGGCCCCGTTGACTTCAGTTCGAATCATTGTTCATTTCCTAAATGTGACTGGTACGTTAAATTTCTTTTAAAAACTATTGCTTTAGTTATTATATATTGTATATATAATGAGTGAAAAATCCAGCTTGGAACTCCAGGACACCTTTTCTTTCCTGTTGAACTGAAATCACCTCATCTAAAGGCAAACTTCTATGCATTGGGAAGCTTGAAATATCGCTTCAGAATCGCCTTAAATTGTCCCCAACTTAAAGTTGTGCAGAGTAAACCTTCACAAATTCTACACCAGAACAAATTACAATGTTACATACTGCTATCTTCTGTTATGAAATAAAGGCATTCCTCCTTCCACAAACTCCCAAAAGCTGTTTGTGGGTCAACCGTGGCACAGTAGTTGGTGAAGATCTTGAGACTATTAAACGACATTGAGTCAATGCTCATGTTCACCAGTCTCTCTCGACTAATTTCTCTGTCAGATTTGAGACTGACTTTATATCCAGAAAAATTAAAAACACTCGCTGAAGAACGCTCAAGGGGTTTCCAAGCCACTACAGCTGAAGTTTCGGAAATGTTGTAGACCTGCACTTGCACTGAAGGATCCTCCTCTAAAATCAAACAGGTGATTCTTAGAGTAAAGTTAAGAATGGTAACAGGGCAAAGTAGAGTGAAATTCGTACAGAATACAAGATGGTGTGTTAGTGTATTTAAGATAAATACGGTAAGTGATAATTCAAAATTCTCCAAATATTGCGAGCCGCAAAGCTCGATCAGTACTTAATCTGTACTCACTGTAAACGCTCGATTCGTCTCTCACACATTCTTGCGACTGATCTGGTTTTGTAGTGATACGAGTTTCCAGTCCTCCGCCACAAGTTACGCCACACCGTTTCAATAAAATACAAGTGGTCTGTTCAAAAGAATCTGTGTTGAAATGAATCAGATACAAAGGCTAAAGATAAGTATAAGTCATTTGGATTTTGTTCGTTATATCTCCATTCTTCTTCTGAATTAGGAGGCAAACCAATTACGCAATAATTAGTTTGATGATAAATAATTTTTTGAAAATTCCTTATTTTCTTTGTATAGGTACAGTTTTCAATCGCCTATGCTATACTGTAATACCCAGTTATAATGCGTCAAATGATTTCAGGGTGGACTGAATTACTGAGTATTGATAGGGAGAAGATATGCCATTAAAAAGACCAGTGATTGGCGCGATTACAGAGGAACAAGTTATTTATGGTGTGCTTATGATAAAGTCTGATGACGAAAGTAATTGCCTTATTATGATGAGTTTAACTGTTTTAAGGGGATCTAAACTAGGTAATAAACGCAAAATATCATTAATTTTTAGCAACGCATCATGCAAAGGGATCATCTTGCAACTTAGTCAGCGTTGCTATGGTTACCTGGTGAATATAGAAACAGGAATTCTCTGTCCAATGGCCTCGTAGAGTTTGATCCGGGAAATTTTACATGAATACGCACGTGATCACTGCGACGGTAATTACTGTGTATCGCCTCGATATAATACAACTTTCCCTGCTCAAGTTGTTGAAAACAGGATATTTGCTCAGGAAATCTATTTATTTAAAAAAGAAAGAGTTTTAAAACATTTCAAATTTGTTGTCGTACTTGAGCTGAACAATGGCCCCTAAATATTGAGATGCAAAAATAATCGTAGTGTTAAGGGTTATACAGAGTTGAACCAATCTCATTGAAAGTTTATATGTTCAGAAACTTTATAATAATAATAATAATAATAATAATAATGATGATTTAAGAATAAACACTAGCGAGAAAAACACACAACGTTTCGATGACTCCATGTCATCATTCTCAAGTGAGAAGAGAATAAAAATGAATAGTTAATTTATACCGTACGAAGGTGGCAAACGTAAAAAGATTTATTATCAACAGAAGAATTTATTATCAGCAGAAGATTTATTATCAACGCTAAATAACTGCCATCCGTCCATACACTTCACCATGGAGCTAGCATCTGGAAACAAGTTACCTTTTGTCGGTATGGAAGTGCTCAAGAAAGGCTGTAAACTAGAAACTAGTGTTTATCGGAAACCAACAAACACAGGCCTATTGCTTCATCACCAGAGCCACGTCGATAAAAGGTACAAGAAATCACTACTTAAGACCATGTTGAATCGTGCATTCCGCCTGTCGTCCACATGGGAGTCCTTCAAATCTGAATGTGATCATCTAAAGATGATGTTTACAAACCTCAAGTATCCCGACCACCTCATCAATTCCACCATCTCTCACTTTGTCACCTCAGTTAGGTCGGAAAACCCTGGAGTGCAAGCTCAATTATCC